TAAATAAATTTAACACCACTGTTCCACGAATTTCATTATCAGTTAGCGACTGACTCGCCGTACCACTCCCACAATATTAATATGCAAAAATGTATTTACTCAAATATATATTTGAATGTTTGAATATTTAACCCCCGAATGTTTGAACAACAATTTTTTAATAAATATAATCACTATATATCACTATCACTATCATTACTCAAGTCCCATGATTTAACCAAATTAATCAATTTCCACCAATTTATTTTAGTAACTATTGATTTTTCATATCCATTTTACAATAGAATTTATACACTGTACTGGACTGTATCAGTCTCAAAATAGGCAATAGTTGAGTCTTGGCAGGATTAATAAAATTTGGCAAGGGCTAAGACCGTGGAAACTGTAAATTCTGGTTCATTTTCCACATTGCGCAATCCAATGTTATTTAATAGTACTGGGCTACTAACAAAAAATATATATACTATTTGTTTCCTTGTTCAATCATTTTTCGACCAGTTTTTGCTATCTTCATCAAGGTCCTTCAATCCAATTAGGAATAAAAAATACTAAATGATCACTTGCCTAATGAATAAAAAATACTAAATGATTACTTGCTTAATACTCAGTAAGAATAAGTTGATTCCACGAAATCCACTCAACAATCTTGATGGCGTTCTTCTGAGTTTCTTAGATTTAGTCCTTGTTTCCACTTTTATGTCACTTGGTGACTGGCCTTTGCAAATCTCTTTAAAATTCTAAATAATTTTCTGTGCTGATTGCAATTATGTGATTTATTGTATTTGATAAAGTAATTACATATACTTACAATAAATAATTTCTATTATGTGATTTTTAGGAATTCATTGAATCACTTGATACCAATTATTTACAGAAAAGTTATAGACACGTCTGATGAGTTTAGCATGATTCTAATGATTTTTTTTTCACTCGAATCAGTCACCGATACAGATAACAATACAGGTTTTCTGGATTTACTGTGTTACAATAACACCTAAAATTTTAAAATGTACAGTTAACTCTCAATAAAAGAAAATTATATAATGTATGACAAAATTTATATTTTGTCATTGTAAATCCTATAATTAGATAGGATTATTGTAACTAGGGTTTCTCTTATGCAGATCAATAATTACTGTCGAATTTATCAAAGTCATGTGACTATCGTAACTCCGACGAAAATCATCAAAATGCCGAAACTTTTGTTTTTTTTTTTTTATTTTTATTTTTTTGAGTAGGTAAACACCATTTCTTTATTTATTCGTATATTACAAGGTATACATTTGAAAAAAACAACATCTCTTACGTGTAATTAGCAGTAAGTTTAATGCTAGCCTGCCTATAGTAATTATTTAACTTCTACTAGAAAAGACATTTTAAAACTAGTATACTAATCAAATGATGCCAAGCAGCTATATATGCCTACTCAAAGCTATTTTGAGAAATAAATTTGTGGTGGTTTGAAATAAGATTAGAAATATATAATGAAAAATTAAAATTGTTTTGGATAAATATTTCTGCAACTAATATAGGAAGATCAATTGTTGTAACACTGTTTTGTGGATTTGAGCTATTGTGTAATGGTTTCAATAAAGGAACATGTTGGTCATTAATAGTTTGTCATTATTAAAGGAAAACTTTATTAATG